CTGTTAATAGTACATAATTATATTAATCTTAACCGCCAGGTAAACGCAAAACTAAGAATATAGTGCTGCCATTTTTAATACCATATTCGGTGATTGACCTTTCTTTCCTTAAATCCTTGCCACCGGATAACAACCGTTGTTTTTCAACCGGAATCTTTGTTTGTTTCGCCATCTCTTTCATAATTTCTTCGATTCGAGCATCGGATGACGTAAGAGTTACGACATACCGTTTTCCCGTCATTGCAACAACGATCACATTTACTCTTGATACAGCTGGCGATTGTAGGCGCAGGTTTGCTGCTTCTTTCAGTGCTTGTTCAAATTTGTGTAGATTAGCAGCCCCTTTTGCATGTTGCATTTGGTCCCAATTGAACTGCGTTCGGCAGACTGGACACGACATGGACGGACAACCATCGATCTTTTCGACTGGTACAACACAAGTGGGACATACTCGAGTATTTTTGTCCAACCATTGTCTATCGAGTTCTATTTCTTTCTTAGCATTCGAACTATTCTCTTCTATCTTCTTCTTAAATTCTTCTTTTGCATCCTTGTAGATTTTTGCGTATTCATCATAATGGGTATTTCGACATTTTTTCCCGAAACGACACTCGCCTGTTAGATGATACAAACATGTATCGTTTGGCAGACCAATGAATGGACACTGTGAACCTTTCTTGCAAAGCTGCTTTTGCATACATGGGTGTCCACCATTTGGAACAAGGTTCAATCGCTTTTTTATATAGGCATCCAACATTTCGTTGTAATTGTTGGACATGTTTTGTGTTGCAGTTGGAGAAGACGTTGTGTTCATAAATGCTGTGTTTGTAATATGCACGTCCAGAAATATATTGACAGTAAAAATAGTTTGTGAATGATCTAAAATTGATCTTGATGTATTTAAATACAAATATTATAGGGCCAATTTCTTCTTGGAAATTTCTATATTAAATGAGTCATTAGCAGAAGCAGAAAATATGGAAAAACCCAATATAAAGAATGTTGGAAAAGTTTTTCTATCTCGAGGTGGTGCCATATGCGTATATTGAGTCAGTCTACGACGAAATTTCTGTTGTAATCGCTTCATTAGCAGCGAAAGAAATAATAAATGAAACACATTGTTATCGTTCCTCTTTCTCTTTTTTCCTTGTATAGATGTGAATGTGGAACTAAGTATGTTTACGTAGGACAACAAAAGTGCTATACTCATACATACAGCTACATTCTAATTAAACGACCGTTCTGCATATGTTATGTATCATGTTAGATAGTTCTCTGAGTAAAAATGTGTGCTTTCGAGTATCTGTACACATCTTCAGCGACAATATAAATCCTATATGCCACTGAACTTAGCTTTCTAGCGTCAGGACAATAGTGGTGGACGATTAGGTTACATATATTAGTGTGAAAGTTGGTGTCGATGAATGCAGTACTCACAACCATACCTATACTCAGTCGGGCCATCAATGCAAAAGCTCTACGAATTTCACTCAATCTCTGTGTGAAGTTGTATTGATAAACTCTTTCGCAAAAGAAGTAGAGATTGTCAAATGATACATGAAAGGGAGACGCTCCTTGCGCGCAGTTTGTGCATGAATCAAATCAACCAGGTGATTACACACAGTATTTCGGACTGTTCGGAAAAAACGAAAAATTGTTATGGTTTTTTTTGTTCCTGTCTCATAAGCAACATCATGCTCGCGTACAATTAAAGGTGCCTTTCCTTTAACTTCTCATCACCTCATGGGAGAAGCAAGTAGTGAACAATATGCATAGTAGCATCTGCATTATTGAAAAGCACACACTTTCTATTAATGCGATTAGTTATGCACTGTGTCAGTAGTACCTTGCTTTCATTAAAACTTAAATTTAATAGAACTGCAATACCAAATACGAGAATTTTCTATATGTATGATTATATATAAATATATATGACAGAACTTTTTATTCACTATTCGAATAAACATGGTAGAACAGCTCTAATTCATTACTCGAAAAGAATGAAGCACATAGGAAAGAAAATGAGTTTCGACTGTGATGCGAATACAGATAGTATCGCAACTGGTACCTAATCAAATACCTTTACCAACTAAGTTATTGAGACAAAGTCGTAACGCAAACTAAAATTAAAATTCCATGTGAATATTGATTTTAATCTGTTTAAGTAATGATTATTAACCATTCTACAATCTTTTATTCAGATAGATAGCAATATTGTAAGACTTGAAAAGTTCTATTTACAAAAATAACGCTTTTAAATCATTGTTTTTGAAGTTCTCAAAAAAAAAAAGAAATGCATCAGACTGGAATGACAGAATCTAAATAGAACTGCATATTTAGGAAGATTGAGTACACAAAGCGAAGTTTTATGAATTTTTGACTCAATTTCAATAAAGAAATATTGACGTCAAAATGCTTCATTGAAACGAATTTCTCTGTACATCATAAGAGAGAGCACAGTTAGTTATTCTCTTTAAATCTATTCTGTCGCAGCCTCACAGTGTGATTTATCTAATTTTTCTTCTTTTTTCATTTTTTGATATTTCATTGCTAATAATAGCTTCGAAATGTTCTTGATACCATATCATATAAATGTGGACTCTTAGTTGTTTGTTAGTACTTTTAATAACTCCAACTGTCAAAATGTCTAGAAGACAAACTAGTCCTACCATTATTCTTTGAATAGGAAATTCTCCCAATGATAATTTCGAAAGGTGCTGAGAGCATGAATCACGAACCTTGCACACCATTGAACACGGTCAGTTTTCGATCACTTTGACGAAAGAAAAATAAGTCTTGATATATAGAGGAAAGTTTGCTTGGTATTTTTCTCAAAATGTTGTTCCTACAAAATTCAGTAACCTTTAAAAAATTAGTGTCAGTGAAACAAAAAAAGGGTTTTAACGGTGTCTCAACATTTTGTTTCTTCTGAGCTCTAGGGAACAATACCTTTTTTAAGGAAACAAAAAGATACTCTTCAATCTGATCTTAGTTGTCATAGACTATTAGTTATTCTGTGAGGAAAGTTTTCGCCACTTTTGATCTATTTTGAGATATCTCTAATACTTTTCTTTTTATAAAGACTTACATCGTGATTCTTTTAAAAAAATAAAGATTAAAGCTTAGGGATAAATCTTGATTGGTTTATTGAGAACATGCTTAGAAGACCATTTATTCTGGCACATCCATTATTTATTTTCTATTTAAATTAAATATAAAGTTGTATTATAATACAATATGAATATCTATTTAAATTATGTGCGAATAAATATTATGTTCAAAAAATTTTCTTGAGAGAGACTCTTGAAAAACAAATAGAATATTTTTTTTGTATCTTTTTCAACAAAACTAATTACTTAAATTTTGATTAATTCATAGTGAAGTTTTTTTTTTTTTTTTTTATTAATTTTGTAACATATTCTGTTCTTTTAACTCTTTTGTTATGACTCTAAAGAAAAAACAAAAAAAAAAAAAACTGTCAAAGCAACAGTTATTGATAATAGTGATGAAATAAGAATGAAAAAAAAACATTACATTGACGTTGTTAGCAACGACTACAATGTCACTTACATTTACATAACATCGACGAACAAATGGTAAGGAAGTAAAACTAAAAGAATTGTATGTAATCCAAACTGAATATATTTTTAAGGCTGATGAAGAAAGTCCACGTTTTAATGATGAGTTTCCTAATGATGAAATGAATGAGAATTTACGTATGTCTGTTTTTTTTTCTTGTTTATTAAAAATTTACTTGATAATTAATTAATTTTTTTTTTTTATTTAAAGAACTAATAAATGAATTATTTTCAAAATATAAAGATAGTCCTGAACTTGATACTATTCATATTAATCGTTTATTAGAAATATTACAAGCATGTGGTAGAAATCCATCACAAACGGATTGTAATAGACGAATCCAGGCACTTGAAGAAGATGGTAGAAATATGAAACAAAGAAATTTTTCATTTAATATTTTAATAAATATTTTTTTTTTTTCGAAGAGAAATTTGAATTGACATTTGAAGATTTCTTAGAAATACTTGATGAACCATGGACATCGATAAGTAATGATCGAAATGCGCTTTATAAAGCATTAATAAAATTTGATCATACAAAAGAAGGTTATATTGATATTGAACAATTTCGAGAGATAATGCGTACACTTGGTGAACCATTATCTGATGATGAAATTGATGATCTCATACAATTAGGTTTAAATGATGAAGTAAAAAAAATTGATATTGAACGTAATTTTTTATTTTTTTGGATTAAAATCAATTTTATTTTTATTAAATTTTTTTTGTTTTTTTGTTTTAGGTTTACTTGATCAATTACTTGGAAATAATATATAATCAACGTTTTATTTTATTATTAGCTTAGTTTAATAACAAACAAACAAAAACAAAAAAAAAAAGAAGATTAATAAAAATATAGATATAACAATATATCTGGCATTGAACATTATTTAAAAATCATGAAATAAAGGTTTATAATCATTTTTTGAAAAATTTGTTGTATTTGTCACTGGACATAAATAATAAAAATCATGTTTAAATTCTTCAGTAATTATTGATGATGTTGAATCATTTTCATATTGATCAATATTTGTTTGTTGTTGTTGTGGAATAGTACTAGATATTGATGAACGATGTGTAGATAAAGCAGGAAAAATTTCTTCAAGTAATGAATTAGTTTCATTAGTAATATTAGAAGGTAATGAAATTGAATGAAGTTTATTAGAAGTATCATTTGGTAGAATTGATGAAGAAGCAATTAAATCGATTGAATCAGATGAAATAATCGTTGGTAGATTTGATGGAGAAGACTATAAATAGAATAGAGAATTCTTTTTTTTTACGAATTTCAAAAAAAAAAAAAATAACTAACCTCTTTATGATGTAATAATTCTTCGATATGAACTTCAGTAGAATAATCCGATGTATTTTCATGTGTTTTCTTAAAAAACAAAAAATTTTCATGATATTAAATAAGTTTTCTTATTGTTTTTTTTTTACTTGTTGATTATTTAATGATGGATGAACTATTTCAAGTTCAGAATACCAATGAAGTTCATCTTGTTGATTAAGACTATCTTGACTATGAATAGATTTTATTTGATTTTCATTATTTTGTTGAAAAAAATTTTCATCACTATGATAAATACTATCTACTATATCATCATTACTATCAATCCAAGCACGTAATTCGGAATCTGAAGTATAAGTTGTTAACATATAAAATTCCATTGAATAATCACGTATTGTATCTAAATGATAGACATTATGATAAATTTCATTATCTTTTGAACAAATTTTTTGATAAATATCAGAATCAGATAATATACGACGATAAAATATCATACGACCAAGACGTTCTGGAAATATTAAACGATGTACAAATGGTTTTCGTAATAATGACATTGCTCGAGATTTGATTGATGATGATGATGATGATAATCGATTATGTTCAGGATTTAAATTATCAACAATTGAAAGAAAATATTCTTTTCCAATATTTTCATTTTGAATAGTATTATTCAATGAATCAGTTTGTATATTAGTTGTATTGATTGATGTATCTAAATTAAAAGAAAAAAATATATTTATTCAATTAAATTTTCGAAATCTTCTAATAAATATGATTTCAACGATAGTTTAATGAGTTTTTCTTTTTAATAATTAATGAACAACTAGAATATTTTTCTATGCAAAATTATTAAAATTATATTTTATAATTCATATGAAATAATAATGAGTTGATTGTCTCAGAATACTTTATAATAGTGCAGAATTTTCACAGTAATAAACATTACTCTGAATCTAACAAGAGTTCATATAGCGAATATTCATTCGGGTTGTTCCATCGTGAGAAGAAAAAAAATGAGAACTATTGATTAGTAACTTCAATTTTTTGTTACATAAGTACAAAAAAAAATAAATTGAATTATTATAGAAAAACTAAAGAAATAAACTTACTTTGTTTAAGTAATCTTTGAATATGATCATGTTCATTAAGACTATCTTCTGAAAAATCTCTCATATCAGTAGAAATATTTGAACATGATTTATTTGTATTTTGTAATTGATCATTAATAGATTTATTATTATTATTATCTGTTATAGATTCTAATGAAGTTGGTGTTAAAGTTGAAAGTGATTCATTTGTTTGAGATGATATTTTATCTGATATTTCTGGTATTAAATGACATGAAAATAATTTTAATTCATGACTACGAACAGTTCGAATACGTTTAACAGTATCTTTTGAAAATAATGATGGTTGAATATTATTAATTATAGGTGAAGGTGAAACAATTATTGGTTTAACAGGTAATTTTGATATGTTTTTATTTTTTTTTTGTTCAGCTATTAATACATCAATATCAGAAACACGTGCTGGTTGTTGTTGAACAATAGAAGATATATGTTTTTTAGTATTATTTATTATTGGTTTTGTAATGATAATATTTGGTTTATTTTTAATTGTTGGTATAATACGAACCGATGGAAATGATTGAGCTGGTTTTGTTGATGTAAAAAGAGGACGAGATGATTTATGAATTATTTGTGATGATGAAGTTATCTTTTGATTTGTAATCGTAGGAACATGTGGATGTTGTTGATTATTTGTTGTTGGCAATGGATGAGGTTTAATTATTGGAATCTGGGAAAAAAAAATAATTTGTTTGTTATTTTTTATAATAGAAAAATTGTTTTTCTTACACGAGATGGTTTTGATATTGATGGTGTTGTCGTCTTTGTTGTACGATATGATGATGTTTGTATTGATGACCTTTCATGATTGGAATAATTTGTGTTAGTTTGTTGTTGTTTTGATCGATTTTTATTCAATGTTTTTGATGATTGTTGTTTATGAGGAGAATCATCAAGAGATACGATATTAATATTTGATAAATGATGATTATTTTTTTCTGTAGATTTTTCTGATGTTGTTGTTTGATTATTTAAAATAAAATAAAGTTTATTTGTTGAAGAAGTTGATGATTTATCGGTTTTAGACTTAATAGTAGCCAGTGTTGATGAATAATTATCTAATTCTAAAAAGAATTTATCATTAATAGGTACAATTTAAAATATCTTCTATCCATTTACGAAAAAGAAAAAAACAAACTAACTTCTTTTAACAGTGTTTATTTTAGATATTATTTATTTTTAGTTTTTATGTCTGCCGTTAGTAATAAAAGCGAGATTTACTCAATAATACGTATATTATTCATGCTGGTTTGATTATGAGCATCTTCACAAGTATTAATAAAAAGATACTCTCCGAACTTAGTCTTATCGAATGTGAATTACTTGAATATCTTAAATAGAAAGGAGAACAGATGAGTAAAGTCAACATTCAGTTTTGTTTTACGTTTTTCTCAAAATCAAATGTAAAAAAAAAAACTATTGTTTTTGTAGTTTTTGACAGCATTTACAAACCTTGTCCTAGTAAAATAATGAGTGTGTCTTTGGTTATGTCCAATATTTTAGCTTTAGTACGTGTAAAAAAAAAAGTTTCAAACTCGATTAGAAGAAGTATCTTAGAGAAATCTGTATGTTTGTGCAAACTACGGAAAGGATGAACAGTACTTTTATAGAGAAAAAAAAAAGAAAGAAAAAATTTGTCCTTGATTGTCGGTGAATATAAATTTAGAAAAGATTGAATATTCCATACATAATTGATTTAAAATATAATTTAATATTCAATAGAGTCTTTCTATTTCGTGTGATAATATGATTAATTAATGTAATGAAAAGAAATCTATCACACAATCTTTTTTCATTAATCAGTTTAATCTTAATACAACTTTTATTTTGTATTTTTTATATTAAAATTTTTTTTTTACTCATAGTTAGAGATACACAGGTATAGTTTACTGATTTAGTGGGATACTACCGGAATTCAATTATTCGACATAGTGACACTTCTAAAACAAACAAGCAAATTTTGATAGAATTAGTATCTAAATGTTATAGCAAACGCAAATGTCAGTATTGACACTAACCTTACTAACACTATACAGACAATTAGCATTATTAAATAGCATGTCTAGGTACTTAAAGGAACTGGTGAATATACTTCCTCTATTTTCTTTTTTGTGTTAAGTACCCTACGAATATCAGATTAGTACATTAGAATTTGCAATTTTTTAGTTTTAGAAAGAAAAATCACTTTCAATCAATATTGATTTCGATCATTTATTGTTGCATGAATTATGAACAAATTTTTACGAGTACGACGTATAGTTAAAAAGATCTTAGTGACATACTTAGTTTTTTCTTTTTAAATATATCAGACTATCCAAATAATAATAAAACTTTGATCATATCTATAACTATAGTTCTAACTTTTGATGAGAGAAGGTCAATATGATAATTAAGAATTCTTTGAAAATGGCATAAATACTTCTAGTCAGTTGTTTATGTCATTATGTTTTCTACTGTAGATAGTGTTACGATATCAAAAATTCTGTTTGAAACCTTGTACTTTTCAGTGTTAGTAATAAAAAAAAATCTCTGGTTTGTGTTATTTTATATCGTAAAAAAAACACTCACAAATAAAAAATAAACAACTGCGTATTATTCATAAGCTATTTAGTATTAATAATATATTTTTGTGAAACACAAGTATTCACACATAGAGGTAAAACTTTGGACTTACTTCCTTCCTTCTTCTCACGTAGACCATATATCAATTATGTTTCTTTCTTTATGATATATATAAACTACTTGCTTTTTGTATGTCTGAAGAGAGACATTGAAGAAATTTATCCCAAAAGAGATTAAATAAAACAATCTTCATATGATTAGCAAGAACAATGACATCATATTTCTCATGGGAATTGTGTTAACAGCTTTTAAAAATAAATCATATCTAAGATTAAATATTTTATTCATTATTAAAAATTAAATATTAATAAAGTTGAACTAATAATATTTTAGAAATGATAAAGCTTTTTGTTTTTTTATTAATATTTCTATTATAAAATAATGAACAAAAAAATATTATTAGAATGTTGATATGTATACAACACTAAATGTCAGTGACAACGTTTACACATATATATATATTTGCAGATTTTTGCTTAGTTAGATATTGCTTGAAGCATTATAGAGCCGTGCAATTCTATTTCTCAGTTTATCTCTATTTCTCATCAACCGTAAATTCCGAATCTATACCATGAAAAAACAAATACGGATAACATATGTTAGAAGAGAATAGAAAATCAAATTTATGTATGTAAAGCCTATGGGTATGATGAAATAGAATTTTAAATTTACACTTAGATTTTGCCTATAAGTGATTTTTTTGTTTTTGTAAGCCAGAAATAAAATAATTGAAGACTATATGATAATTAATAGTTGAAGATGATGTCGGAAAGTTTTAGTTATTTGAGCTTTTTCGTTCAAAACAAATAAAAAAAAACATAGTCTTATGTTTCTCTCTATCGGAAATTTTTGCTTATACAATTCTAATTATAATCTTATATAACAAAACAAAATATATTAATTTTTATTTAAGATTTTGTTTATAAAATAAAAGTTATAATGAACAACTAATATTTTAAAAATAATATGATCTTACTGTGTACAATTTGGTTGTCTTTATGTATATTTATTCATCTAATGAGTGCACTTAGTTTTCTTTTTGTCTTAGATGCTGCCGTTTCTGATGTCCGTTTACATATTCTTTTCTTAACGGAAAATTATAGAATTTGGCTTTCTACATTTCTCGATTTCCTTTTTTCTTTGCTTCTATCCACTTTCTCTTTGCCGTTCTGTCATATCTAATTAGACATGTGTAACGATAGAGAACTGAAGAAAACAAAGTTACATCATAACATCTCTTCATGAGAAAATACTCATGTACACATACCCGATGATTGATTTGTTGTTTTTTGATCTTGATCTTCAACAATCATCGATTGTTGATGAGACCATATGAATTCATTATTAGTAGTATGTTCATTATTATTCTAATAGTAATAGAGAGAAAAAGAACAACGAAGAATATTAATTTAAAAATAAATTATAATACCGATGTATTACAAGCAACAGGACATAATATACAAGTTGTACTTCGACGAAGTGATTCATTCTAAGTTAAATGTTATTCATATGAAATTTTAAAAATAAACGAAGAACTTACTTTCTGTTGTTTTTTCCTCCAGTGAGCCGTATCATTTGTATTATGTCGCTCAATATGTTGTTTTCTGAGTTCCTATGAATATAGAAATAATATATAATTAATGTACTATTATCTATTTCAATGCTAATTTTTATAAACATTTCTATTTTCAAATCACACCTGAGCTGTTAAATGATCATAACATGGTGAAATACATTGATCAAAAAGCTTTCGAAATCGTTGTCTTTCGTATCTTGTCATGATTGTTCTAGTTTTTTTTTTAAACCTCAAAAGTTACATTTACTTTTGTTGTTTTTTATCTTGACAAATGATAAATTTTTGTAACTTCTAGTATGTAAGAATAAAAGTCATATCTTTTAATTTTAACATACATCAAAAAGATGATGTTAAAGGCACATTAAAAAAAAAGTAGCCAATTATATTTGCTCTCATAATGGTCAATAAAAATTGTCTAGAAAAATGCAACAGATATGAAGAGATATGAATATACAACTCGAACTGTTAAAGTAACAAATAGACTTCAATTAAACAAAATGAAAACTTTCATGATAAGCTATGTAAAACCTTGACTGTATACTTTTCAGGTAGAAAGAATAAAAAAAACAATATTCATGTACGCAAAAGTAATAGTAAAGAAAAGAAAAATCTTGATTGATAATTAATATAAGATGATTACCTGTTGAGTTAAGAGTATTTTTATAATTAGATCAGTTATTGATCGTATACATTTTTCATTTTGTATATGATAAGTTTGATAAATTTCACGTAATTGAAGATTATCATTTTCTAATTTTTCAATACGTTTTAATAAATAAATTTGTTCATTGGAAATCCAATATTCATGCTTAAAATAATGAAAAATAAAAGAGAAATAATTTTGAACAAAATAAAAAAAAAACATTGTAATTTACTCGTTTTTCTAATTTATCAATTTGAGCTTTTAATAAAAGATTTTCATTAAATAATTTATCTAATGTATGATATATATTTTTTAACTAAACAAAAAAAAAAAGAATAAGTGAACAAAACAATATGAATATATAATCATTGTTTTGAAAAGCAATTCTCTCGTACTTCATTATCAATTGATAAAAATATCTGATTAATATTTGGTTTATCGGAACATTGCAGTCGGTTCTTGCATTGACGAAACATTGAACTTATATTGTGAAACCAACTGATCTGAAAAAAAAATAGAATGACATCAATTTAATAAGAAAGCATTATGTGAAACTCTTTTCTAGCTGTACATTAAGGTTTACTGGTAATATGCTTAAACACACTATTTTCTTAAGGTTTATTCAGTTGAAAGAATATAGATAGTCTTCAACCAAATTTGTAGAAGTATGAGTACTTCAACTGTCAGCTGAATAAATAAGAAAAAGTTCATCGTTCCTTCCTTCTTTTGTAAGCAGCAATTCGTTTAATTTGAAACAAAGAAAAGAAGTGATAAACACAAGCATACAAACTTATGTCAAAATATTTCAATAACGTACTTTACAAGTCACTTAAATCAAATTTTGTCACATGCTATTGCTTATTGCATATCATTTCTTTATTTTTTCTTTAATTTAATTTTTATTAATGCTCACCAACTGTGTATTACGCATGTATCCTTCTCATGAAAATAAAAATCTTTCATTATGACATTTCAAAAAGAAAAGTACCTATTGTCGATGAAGAAAAAAAAAAAACGTATTAAATTTCATTACAAATGCACATCATAAATCGTTTGATGGTTTGTACAGGTGGATATTCACTGCATTTATTCAATTGATAAATGTCATTCAAATATAAGGAGATGTCTTATTCAAATATCTATCTGTTCTTTTGTTATTTATTCGATGAGAATCACAACAGTTATGTGAACCGTGATAAAGTTTAAAAGTGCGAACTACTCATATAATATTTTGTCGGAATTTTTCTTTATTTCTTATTAGATAAAGACATCAAAAGCTCTAATTTTCTAACACAATGATCTCAAGAAAAGTGAGAATATTAATTCAAAGATGAGAGAAAAAACATTAAGACACAATGTTTAATATATTTTAGCGACAATGTCAACCATGTTATTCAGAATACAATTATGAAACGGATGACATGGTAACTAATGTTCGACAGGAAGAATATGACTTTTAAAAATATTGAATAGAACGTGGGTAGATAGAGCACGAAGTCCTCTATATGTTAATGTAAAATAGGTTACTTTTACGAGTTGTTTGAATCACCATACATTTGTAGAAATAGTTAGATGTTCAAAGAAAATAAAAATTCATATTCACGAGAGAATGTTTTTAAATGTCAAATTGCTTTTAATTCAGAACTTGATGTATCATTCAGGTTCTAATGACTTATGGATGTCCTGAAAAAAGTTGAAGCTAATGGTTTACTACTGTTGTGATACCGTATTTTTACTGTAATTTTTATTACAATATTGTGGTTCCCTCAAAAATACAAGGAAAATTGATTTTCAATTTTCGATTTGAAGTTTGTTTCAGATTTTTTGATTGTACTTATTCTAAAATAAGAATCTCGGAACTTGCTGTTATACATGAGCAATATGCATATTTAGGTCTGTTTCTATGAATAGCTTCAACTTAAAAAGCTATTAGCATCAATTCTTTTCAAGACATTCATATCTAATTACAACCTATATTCTATTTTAATAATTCATTGACAAGGAAAAATAATGTAGGAAAAGAACAAAACGGAGCGGTTTGTAGAGGAATAAATTCCATGTCGAATGAGTAAACAGAAAAAAAAATTTACAATGAATTTAAACTGCTCTACAGAATGAAACAAATATTGACCATTTAGTATGAATCATACATACATTAATAAACAGTCGATTCTAGGCGTTCTCTAGAAACATATTGATACATGTTAATAGAGTTCATTTTAATTAGTAATTAATTTCGTCATATCTGTTTTTTCTTTTATTTTCCTTCAACTTGAATCTTTTTTAAGAAGATCATTTTATACTCAATCATAGAAATGAATTTCTTTTGCTTTTGTACAATATAATCAATAATACAAAAAAAAAGAACTTTTTTTTAGTAACATTTAACTAACTATAAATATACTCACAATTGTAAGATAAATAAATTTTAAACTATTTTGTATGAAAATTAACAGAGACATGACGATAATATAATTAAAAGTATTGAAATGAATATAAATTATATATATGCCATGACTTATATTTGTTATTTATATGCTCCATTAGTTTAAAATTAAATAACAGATAAAGATATAAAATGCCAAGGGGTAAATAGAAAAATAGAATGACAAAGATGTTGCCAATTTCTAGATCAGAATAGTCGAAGAACAAGAACGCATAACTAAGAAACAACACAGAACGTGCCTCGATGTTTTCCTATTTGTTGCCTCATAGAAAAACGACATCGCTTAAACACGTGATGTTCAATTGGCAAAGAAATAATGTTGTGACGAAGACGACTAACAAAAGGACCAAGGAAAAGTAGTCAGAAAAGAAAAGAAAAAAAAAAAGAAAACGTCGGTTTTGTCTTCATTTTGCTTTGGGACAGAACAGCAAAGCATATCTGTTCATCGAGGTTGCTATTGCGTTTTTTTTTTCATTTCATGATAGATGAAACCAATACGATCCATTATAAAACTTTGCATTACACAAAACTAACGAGAGACCTACCCCAGATATCCGTTTCCGATTTCAATATTTGTTTTTCGCCTATAGATACTACATACTATTCTAGTAAACGCCCTAAAAAAAGTTGAGTTCATGTTTAGACTTGGTGGAACTGTTGAACTTCTAGCATATCTATTAACCAGAGACTCCTATAGGCGATCCGGATTTCGGAAAAATCATGTTTTTGGATTTTCTAGTGAAAAAAACTTACAGTTTGAAGATGCATTAAAAATACAATAGTTCCGTCAAATTTCAATAGGAAGTCAAATATTTATAGGATTTTCACTGGAATACTATGTAGTATCGATAGGCAAGAAATCATTGATATCGGAAGGTGATAACTGACCATATGTCCAACTACTTTTGAACGATATATATATAATCGATATCTTTTGATGAACTACAGCTTCCCATATACAGATACTTTTGATTCATGCCTCAACAGAAGCATTCTTTTTAACCGTCATCTAATGTACTTGCTGTTTTTAAACATTAACTGATAGTTTGTCTTTAAATGATAAACATACTTTTATTTAGTCTCGACTACGAAATATTTCTTTTTAATTTCAATATGCAGACGAAGAGTTATTATATATGCAAGCGAAAGTGTTAAATTTGTTATTTATAGTTTTATTTATTCAATGATTTAAATGCATACATTTTTGAAATTTAATATTTGATGAGAACTTTAGTTTTTTTTAGTTATTTTCTTTATAATTTTACAAACTATTAATCAAATATTCAAATAAAATCTATTTAGTAAATTGTCTACATAAGCAGATTATGAACAATACAATATTTTTATATTTTGAAAGAAGTGATCTCATGATAAAAATCAAATATTAAAAAATAAACTCGAATTTTTTTACGTGAGACTATTTTTATACAAATGAAATGCTCTTAGGTTTAATTCGTTTACAAAACATGATTCATCTTTTCTGCTCCATTCAGCTAAACTGAGTAAGTTATTAATATAAAATATCATGCACGATTTTTACGTTCGAACGGATTTTTTGATAACTATTATCACATTTTTGATTAAATTTACATTATTTTAAGTCATTGAATAAAATATTCATTGGGCTTCTTCCAGCACAGGTAAATATAGCATATATAAAACTGCTTCTTTTTTCTCTTACCAATAAAAGAAATTTTGTTATGTCAAACCATGATAGTTTACCTATTGATTTTGATAAATATATAAAATTAACAAATATATCTCATTGGATTTACCCTATTTGGTCGATAGGATTTATAATTCTTGGTACGATTGGTAATATTTTTTCATTAATTATATTTATTCGTTGGATCAATCGATTATCTATATATATTTATTTTACTGTTCTATGCATAGTAAATATTTTAATAATTAATGTTGATATAACATATCATTATTTTCTACCATTTCTAATTGATAATGAAATATTAATAAAAAATCTTCTTCCTATAACATGTAAATTTATGTTTTTTCTTACTTATTTTTTACGTTATTTATTTATTTGGCTTATTGTAATGATTAATATTGATCGTTGTTTATATGTTACAGAAAATTCATTAAAATTAATTTTATGTCGTCAACAATCAGCAAACATTATTTGCATAATTTTAATTATTTTTTCTTTTTTTGCTAATTTTCATTTTCTTATATTTTTTAATGATACAATTATTACTGAAACTTTACCAAAGAATCAATGTGTTTTGGAGAATTTTTTTTATTATCATTGTCAATCATCGAATAGACATTATCAATATTTTTTAAAAACAATTTGGCCTATTTATAATCTAATTATATTTGCTATTATGCCAATTTTAATTATGTTTATTTGTTTTATACTTATTATTCGAAGTGTTTATTTAACTAGACAAAATAAATTTGTTTATGATAAACGGCATAGTCGAATTTCTTCAATTATACCACAAAATGATCGTGATCGTTTATGTTCAATAGCAAAAATTTTAGTATGTCTTGATTTACTTTTTCCAATGACAGTATTTCCAATACTTTTTGCTCAAATTTACATAAATTATAATCCACCGAAAACATGTCTCAATATTGGTATTATTAATCTGATTTTTTCTATTGGTTTTTCTATAAGTTTTATTAAGAATACATTTGCATTTCTTATATTCTATTGTACAACTAGACAATTTCGTCGTGTTTTTTCAGCTTTAATTCGTTGTAAAAAGACACTAGCTTATAGTCAAACTCGTTAATTACCTTGTTATTTTTAATGATAAGCATTAACAAAGTTTTAATAAAATTTGATGTCATTTAGAAATAATAATGTCTTTTGTACTTTTACAAAATCAACAGATTCGATATTGATCTTTGGATTTGTACTTAACAGAGATCTCATCAGGTTATAGATCGCGCCGTCTGGAATTATATTCCAGATTTTGGTTTTTGATATTTAGTTTAAAAGATCATAATACTTATATACAAAAGCCACAATATTCCGGTAAAATGTTAATATGGTTGTGAAGAGATATAAGTAAACTACCCTTAGCTAACCTGTCAAACTCCAATATTTTTTTCTTGAGATTTCTTTTCCAATCCATATCATGACTGAAAATGAATCAAATTTACAAGTATTATAAATGATTCAATAGCGTAGAATCTACTTCACAAAGTACTATTTAAGGTTCAATTCAATCGCCTCTTTTATTCAGAATAAAAGTCGAAATGCAAAACCTTGCAACTCATTTTTAGCAAATTTTTTCAAGCATATGAATCAAAAGAGCATTATTATCTATGCGTCCAAGGGTAGGGTGTGTATATTTTGATGTGAGGTGTCGATATGGATCTCAATTTCGTTCACATTCATACTCACCCACACCCAAGGTACCGATTTAACATGGGGGTGGGTGGGGAATGTGGATGTGGGAGGTGGGAGGTGGGTGTTCACACGGATGTAGTGGTAGATCAGAAGAACACACCCACACCCACACCCACACCACCCACCCACACCCACACACCCCCACACCCCCACACCCCCACACCCAATTCAACATATGCTATAGAGAGAAGAATTTTATTCTCCTTTCAGTAGAAGACTTAGCGATGTTTTAGTCGTGCTACTTGTTTACTTTTCGTTTCTGTCTGCAAGTCTTTCTTCTACGACTCTCTCCTACCAACAATTATTTGCAGACTTTGACGCAAACGAGCCGTCAGTCAAAAGTAAATAGAAGAATTTCTTTTTTTTTTTCAATAGCATATTTTTATGTTTGCCTACATATAAAGGTAGCAGATCATACAAATATTGTGCATCATGTATAAGCAATGTGAGCGAGACGAAGAAAACGTGTTCATGATGGATGATGAGCATTCCACTAATGATGGTGAGCTCTCGAGATCGGATGAGCTCAGTTTTCCTTGGTTTTTAATTAAAATGATACAAGAGATGTGAAAGCTTCGTCCACCAAATTATGCCCTTTTGATACGAGAAAACCTAGGAACGTTTCAAAAACCTTGCGAACATTTATCGAATGAGATGTTATCCGTAAATTAAGATCAATAATATTAAACAAGACGGCATGTTCGCATCGTATAATGAAATGTCTTTCATTATTCTTATCGTTAGATGCTGACAATGTTTTCATTTTAAAAAAGTTTCGCTCACCATTGTCACTTCAGACGTTTATTAGACACTTGCATGTCACGAAGCTTTCATGTGACTAGCATATCTTCTTAGTCAGAGAAGTCTTGTTTCAATGATATCGTCTGCTTAAGATGGAAACTTAATCAATGGTGTTCGAGGGGTGCAAAAGTCAAAAAGTGCCTGTGTCATCTTTGAATTTTTCAGTTTCCTATCATGTGCAGCTTTCGCTCATATTCATTATGTTCGTTGTTGCCATGGTAATTGGTGCCGTCTTTCTGAACAATTGTTATAATGAACGAATGATATGCATCTTTCTTATTGTCCACGGTGTATGCGGTATTGTCGTTGTCCTCATTCATATCATTGCAGCCGTTACCGAGTAAGCCTTTTTCCACGTTTCTGCCAGATGGTTTTCCTAAGTAGAAGTTGAAATAGATTTTCAGAGAAGTCTTATTGTAATGCTCATAGTATGGCACTGCAAGCGACACAGCATCAATAGTCTCATTTTTCAGTTCTGTGTTATCGTCTCAAGAATAATCATGACTCAATCATAGTGAGATGCTTTTACGTTAAATATCACGCTCCACTGTCTACGGCGAATGATACAAACAAACAAGTGACTTTTAACCAATGAAGAGACAACATTTTCTGCGTCTTAAAACTTCAGTGGAGTCAAAATTTTTGCCAGTCTCGATCTTTCAAAAAAGTAGAAATGATGTAGCACAAACTATTGGTAGTACTTATTATCTTTTTATGAGTAGCGAAAGTTATTGTATATGGGAAGCTATAGAAAAGACGAAGTGGTTTCTTAGAGACCCATATCGCTATACTGACACGCTCGGGATGGTCAGGATTTCTGTCCGCACATTGTGTTCATGGAGTTTTGTATTTTAACCCCTCCATATTGCTAAAGTAGGATGTGTGTGCATGGAATGGCTGTGCGCCTTCTCGTAAAGTAATCACACATCCTTACCTAAGACACACCGATGCCTCTGCCCTTGCATAGAAAAATCAAGTATTTTGGCACTCAACTGTGTTGCTATCTTTATCTGAGCGAACTGTAATCAATTTTTACTTGGATTGGTTCGTAGAAGTTTTGACATTGCAGTAATCTTCTCCTACAGAGGTTGTTTTTATATACGTAATGAATCTCAAGGTACAAATTTGCTTTTTTTATTTTTCATGGAGCTTTCATCGTGTACCCCTTCTTGTCGACTCGTGAAAAATGTTGAAGCTTCGTGCTAGTTATAGGCTGAGAGCCGGAGAATAGTAGCGCTCGGTAAAAATTTTCCGTCTAAACATAAAATCAATAGTTATTTAATCCTTCGAGAAGTCTGCTCTTTAGTTGAAAGTGATGTTGTATTTCATATTTTTGCAGCTGCACTTCAGCCGGCGTTCTGTGTCATTTGAAAACAGATCGTCGTATCATCAAGTGCGTCTTTGTTTTTGCTCATTTTATGGTTGTGTTTTGTATCATTTAGTTCGTTATTGGGCATATTTGGGTATTTCAAAAAATCGCCGCGTTCAGCTATACAAACGCATGCACGACAAATGCTTCGCAAGCTAGCGTTATAATATTAATATTTGAATATATGATTGGTATTTGGTATTTATGTTCCCGCTTATGGAATAGTCCATTAGTCTTGTGTTGGCTTCAAAAAATTATACAACACCGACTCGATGAGTTTTCCAATGGTAATAGATGACTTCACACACTCAAAGCAAGATAATTCTTCTAGCTTTTCACACACACATACATGTAATGTTCTAGCCACCAGAAACACAGGAAGGTGCAGTTCTCTCGCTTTTAATTAACGGTTAGATGTCCTTTATATACATCTGTTTCTCAACTAAAGGGTAGTTGACTTTGAAACCAACATAGACATCCTGTCTGTACCATGTGCTTTCGCGATTATTTTGATAATTGGTGGGAATTTTTGTATTTGACGGCTTCAAAACTAACCAGTCTGATGATAGTGAGAATGATCATTCCATCTTTAACTTCGTATCCTCATCCTTGTTATCCCATGCCACATTTCTTATATGCACAATAGTGGCACATGAATTTTCGAAGCTAAATCTAAATTTCAAAAGCAAAAACAGAAAGTAAAGCGAACGACTCTCATAAAATCGGATAAATTCACCTTTTATCTAGCCACGCAAGCAGTAATTCAGTTACGGAATGTTACTCATTTTGAAAATACTAACTTAAGTATGAGAATAATGGTGAGCAAAATCACCGATACATTTCGTAATTTTCTTTAGACATTCTCGAGGTCAATACTAGATAGCTTATCAAAAATGTATGAAACTAATAAATTATGCATTTAGAGATTTTTGCAACACGACTATCTAAGATGAATGAAATCGAACCGTCGCACGCCTCTTTTGTATAGAAGATTATGGTCCTCTATTATGTAAATTCAAATTGCACGTCTAGAATCATATGTCCATTAGAGATCACGTTTTTTTTATGACTTTCTCAGTGGGAAAAAGAGGTGTCCGAAAAATTGTTCAACATTCAAATTAGGTTTCATTTGACTTAGAGTTATTTCTTCAGTAAACAGCTTTTTTCTTATTCGTTCAAAATTCCAACAAAACATCCAAAAATAAAAAGCTCATAAGAGGTGAGTATTCATTTCTACTTTCGAATACTACATCGAACAAACTTTCGTACGCTGACGACGATTTCCCCATAGAAATTCAGCAGAAAATGCCTCTTATATTGAAATAAAATATGGATTTTTATTCACAGAACAAATCAGTCAATTAAATGCTTCGGATATTACTGGTCCATTGAGCAATGAAATAAGTCAACCTCAGGTTTTAATTGAACCGGCAAGGTAAAGATCAGATGAAACTGATTTTTTGCAAGCAGAATTATCTATCTCTACTTTTCGATATGCTTAGTGGTAATAATAATGTTACACTATCCTCACAATTTACAGAGATACATGTTTTATTTCTATTCATTGAATTAATTCTTTTCGCAACATCGTTGGTTGTGATGGTCACGTTATATGTTAATCTATCAGGTAAGAAGACATGCCTATATAAAAAGTGAGAGCACGAGTGTGAATAGAGGTGTATGCATTGGTAGTTGGTAAGACAAACAACACCGAACATTCAAACTTCTAACACTTCTAAAACTTATTGCTCTAATTCCCTTGGTAGAGAAAAAACTGAATTTCAATCAGCTTGTACCAATAGAAAAAACAGTTTTGTGCTTCTTATTTGATATAGCATCAACCGCTGGGTCTGCTGCTGTTCTTCCGGCACAATGTTTCACTTATACAACCGATTCCGATTCAACACGTCTTTATACTCATGCATCATCTTGTTGTGGAGCGGATAACAGTCTGGCAGCCGGATGGTATCGATTTACAGGCGGTGGTACACGACTCGTTACAACACAGCTGAGTACAGCCAGCATCTGTGGTACCTCTTATCCAGGCTGGTGGAATGGTACCTTACCAATGACGACAGGTGCAACTACCGTGGGAAATGTTTGTTTTTATACTGGTGACTCATGTAGCAACTCACTTTCACCAATAATTGCGACGAATTGCGGTAGTTATTATGTTTTTTACTTAGTACCAGCCCCATGCTGTTTGTCGTATCGTTACTGTACAACGCCTTAAAATTAACAACTAACCTAATTACTTTGTATTAATCATTTATATCGGTTTACACACATATTCATACTAAACTAAAGAATGACTTTATTTTGAAAACTGACTTATAGACTATTTTATCCATTTTGTCTTGAAACAAGCAAGAATCTATGACTACTTCTAATTATGGGTTTCAATAGTTTTCAGTAGTTGGAAAGACTAATATTTTTCAGACTCAGATGAAATTTGTACAACTTAATAATGACGATGTGGATGTGAATCCAAAGAAGACCTGCACTCACACCCACACCCTTACTTGGCTTCTTAGAGGTTGTAAATAGTCTGAGTAAGAGATAATTTCATCGAAGATAGCTTAAGGACGATAATGTTTGTTTTTGTATGTCTCGAAAGTATTAGATATTTTTCTTGTTTCAGTCTTGTTATTTATCTTTTCATATTTATTTGTCGAGGCTTACACATCAGCTCAACATTCAATAACAGTACTATATATTTTTAACATGCTTAAAGTGAGACTTGGGATGTACATGTAGTGTGGATTTCAGTGTGACTGTGGCTGTGGGATTCGATGTGATTACTATGCTTGTGCTCACACCCACATCCAATCAAGTTATATCAATTTTCATATCATGATAAATTCAATAACTGCATGAAAAAAATGTGAAATAGTCAAAATCTACAATTACATATAAGCTACAAATTCATTTAGATTATTCAATTCATTACAATTTTATTGAAGAAAACTATCATGATAGAAAATGGATTATTTATTGTACTAAGAAGAGTATAGACTTATCTAAAACTATTGCATGCGACGGATAAATGCACAGGTTTAAAACTAATCAGTGATAAGCAATTAAAAAACCGAAATATCTACATACTTGATAATAATTCTCTGTAAAAAAGATTTATCGCTTGTCTAAGTGAGAAATATTTCTTTTAATGAATTCGTTTATTTTAAATTATTTTAAATTTCTATATCTTTGATGTACTTTTATCTAGCTACACATGGAATTATTAACTTGACATATTTTAAGATACTTGCAAGCTTCAAAATTGTTGTGACTATTGTTAAAAATCAACATACATAAACAACTAACTTCTAATATATGTAGTTATTCACCTCAATTATTTGATTTAATTCTTATATTAATACATAAAATTGATATTCAATGATGATTAATTGTTATCATTAAAAAGAAGTAATAGAAAAATGTCTCATATAAATAGAATGATTCAAAAGAAAATAAAACAGTGGAGGAGTGTTGCAATAATGTTGAAAAACTTAATTTCATAGAAATATAGTAACAAGGTCTTATTGAAAAAAAAACAAATTAATAATGACTCTATGAAAGCCGTAAACGTCATGTTTCATCAGAAAACCCTTCGAAAATTGTTCGACAGACATCATTCTGATATGGAAATCTTTATTTTACAAGCATGATCCAATTAATCAATGATTTCTACTGCTAAGGTTAAATCTAAGTAATCATTCACTTAAATTACGCAGTATAGAAGTCGAAGGAAATTTTCAAATATAGACTTTCATAAATTTATCACTATGAGAATTTTCTTGAAACCGCCGACTTCTCAAACTTGCTAATAGAGGGTGCCGGTGTGGTTGGAATATGTATGAATGGCGATGGGTGTGCGTATGCATGTTCGTGTAGGTACAGATAAGCATTCCACCTCTACCTCCACACCCATACCCAGTCGTTGATTAGAACACAAAATAAACAATGAAAACTTCTATTGATATAATTTTATGATTAATCTTGATCTGTTATTCGATAACAAAATATATCAAGAAGAATAAATGTGATCTTTTTTGACAACGGAACAAAGTATTGTACAAAGTGTCGCATCCATTTCATAGAAAAGCAACTAGAATGTAGTTGAAGGAATCACTCTAAGCTTTTTTTAAAAGTACGTCATATATGCATATTCGATTAAACAATTGTATTTTGTTTTTTTCACATAGCAGCATCAATGAAACTGATTGATTCTATATGGATTCGTGTAGTTTATTTACTCCAGAAAAAAGAATAGAGAATAAAACTCCAATGCTGATTGTACATGAAACTATATTTCAATCAAAGAGTATTACAAGAGACATTTGTAACATAGAAATTAGTTTACTAAAATGAAAATTCTAATTAATCTGTTAATCATGCGTTGTTGTTTAGCATGTGATCTTTAAAATTTTTTTGTGCCTTTGCTCTAGTCTTATTGATTTAACAATTCCATGAGGAAACAACTGAAGATATATTTCGGTAAATTATTTTGATCGTCTGTACACTCGCTACATAAGCACAATTAATTCGATATAACAGCGCCATAGTTCAACTAAATTCAGAACTGAAGGAACCTATGTTCAATCTCAATGCTTCCTTGAATAATATTCGTAAAGTAGGAAGACGGTATAAGATCGAACAAGTTTTTTTAAACAATTCATGTAATGAAGGGGAAAAAAATATCTTCAAAATCTATTGATATGGTCAGTATGGAACTCGAATATATCGATTATGATTCATGCTGTTAATTTAACAGCAAAGTTTTCAGTTTCCATTTTATCACTTTAAATACATATTTTGCTTATAAATATTTCTATTCTTAGAAAATATCGCTATTTTACATAAAAAATTTCATTTTTTTATTTGAAATATCATAGGATTTCTATGAGAAAAAAAATGTAGGTAGAACATTTTATCAACGACTTATCGATAGATGTTTTGTTCTATCTGATTCGGATTAATTTTTTTCTTTGGATTTATCAATAAAAAAAAAACTAGAATGAAAATCTCTTCTCCATTCTACTTCTTCTTCGGAATATCAATCGAAGCATTTTTCTTTCAATCTTTCTGCTATATTCGTGCATATATTCAACAGAAGTAACAAATCTTAATTGGATCTTTAATTGCTTAGCGAAATACAGGCATTTTTTTGTTTTTCTTACAAAAGTTTAAAGGTCTTCTTTTCCTTTGATAATTCAGCATTCAATCCTAACATATATTTATTTGATTATGTCTTTTATTTTTTCTCCGCATAAGACAGCAAATAAGAAACTTCTATTGTATTTTATGCATACATTTTCTTTTACAGAGATTTTATTTTATTCAGCGTAAGTTCTTCTGGAAGCTGTTCTAGAATGAATTGTATTAAATCTTCGTATTTTTCTTTCATATATCACAGGAAAGAACTTTAAGCTCTAAGAAACAATTATTGAATCTTTATTTCAAAACGTTTTTCCTTGCTATCATGTTATTACACCATTAGTCGGCTACATTCAGCATCTTCTATCGTTTATATGAATTGATAAGATCGAATAGATACATCACATACGAAAGCTACTTAGTTATTTCGATAAGTATAGACATAACCCTGGAGTAAACTCAGTCTGCGAATTTATTGCTTTAATATTATGGATTCGAATTTAGATTTCGATTTGGTCAAATGAGAAGTCAACATGTTTGGAAAAAAATTTGTTTCTAACGGAGTAATCTTATTCTATTCATGCAAGTCATTTTTTTTCGTGACAGTTCAGTTTCATTCAAAAGTATCATGATAGTATTATAAATTATGTCGATAGATTTGTTCTAAGATTATAAGACTAAAATACAGCTCAAAAATCATTGATTGTTATTCGCTGAAAACGTTCTTAAACGGTATCGTTTAGATTCCGAGAAAAAATATCCTATTATCGGAGCTGACGGAAAACGTTCAAAAAAACCGTAAAATACCACCAAAAAGATGGTTCTCAGTTTTTGTCCTCGAGGACAGTAATCATGCCGTTTCTTCACTATTTTAGGCAGTTTAAGACATCGTGTCAGACGACTGTAATGATCCATCTGGGTCTATTCATGCTTTTGTTTGATCCAGTTTTCCCAAGTAAACGTATGATATCTTTACAAGAAATGAGAAGTTTTATCTACTTTTATTTTTAATTTATGACTTAACACGATATACAACTGTAGGTTTCTCAATTCTTCAAAGGCATCCATTGCTGATAGAAAAGTAAAGAAAGATGATGATTGTAACTTTTGTGATCATAACAAAATGCATTCAACCTAATCTCTCAGAGATATCCATTGTACGATCGGCGTCCACCATGAGTTCAATATTGAGAGCTGTGATTCCAATAACAATAAGAAGCTTGCTAGTTAAGAGTTTCAAACACATTTTGTTGAAAAAAGATTGAAAAGGAATGTAGAAATATATAAGGTAAACCTTTGAATTCATTTCTTCCTTCATTTCCAGATCATAACAAGTATCCTGGAGACCCTATCACAGATCGTGCAAGTATATATTGGTATTTGCTTAGAGACTGCATTTCAATCACGTTTTTTGAAGTATGTGAACTATATCTCTTTGTAATCAGCAACAATGGTTACAGCATGTTTCAAATTTCAAGCTTCGTTATCAAACAAAAATGGATAAAAATAAAATTAAAATCGGTTGTTCCTTTATCAATTTCACAATCTATTTGCAACTCTGACTAATACTAGAACAAAACAGAAGATATACTAGGATACAGATAGTTTAGTCTTTTGAGTTTGCGATTCTACAGTTCACGTAATTACTTTCCTGTTTTGTATGAATCAAGTTATGCTACTAAGAATCATAAAGTCATAGCCGGTGGACTTGATTGTCATCTCAAAGTTTCAAGCGCTGGACTAAAATAAGGTTAATAAATCTATCTCATTGTAAACAATAATAAGAATATTCAAAGTTCATAGAAATCATTCTCTATTCACACATAAATTGATATCACCAGTCAAGACTTGAGAATTTTGAAATACTTTTTTTGACGATAGATAAATCTGTAATTTTTTAAATGGCATCATCAGTTCATAAAATCACAGTTAGCAGTGTCAATCGATCGCAAATAATCGTATGTAATCACTCATATCTATACAATTATATATTAGAAAGATTTTATTATCATTGCAGAGGACTAGTCAAAGTTTAAACAATAAGAAATTGACAAATAATCACAATAATAGAAGATACTCATCAATTCATGTACAGAGAATAAGTCGATCGTCAAGCTATAAGAGCACAACAAATCTTTTACGGAACGATCCAAATCAATCAACATATTCACCTTTTGATTTACACAGTATGAATTCATCATCGAACAATCACCAAAAATTATTTTGGTACTCAACTAATAACGAACAAACAAATCAATCATCAAGTCATTTCGTAAAGAGAATATCGTTGCCGAATCATGCAAAAAAGCGAAGTCAATCTTTAAACTATCAGAACAATAGATTTCATCGATCTACTCGTGTGCAATTGATAACTCGATCATCAACATATCCAAAGAGAATAGTGACGCCCTTAAGGAATCCATACAAAATAAATCCAATATCACCAGTACGGGAAGAAAATTCAAGTCCATTGAGCAAAGTAATAACATTTTCTTTTGAATAGAAGACTTTTCTCGATCTCAAGTAACAACTTGGATCAAATAATATAAAAAAGAAAAGAATTGATCAGATCTTTGATCCAACAATCATTGAACTATTAGAAATCTTATAGTACAACTTAGTATAAGATTACTGAAACTAAGATTGTTTTGAACAATTTTATCTTGTATTACATGATGTTATATCTGATTTTTCGATCTGGACACCGTAATACAATCGTGGTATTTATGATTAATAACTTGAACAAGATTTATATTAGATTCTAAGAAACTGGCCGATACTCTAGATCACTATCGAATGATTATATTTTTACAAACTGCATTGCATCGTTTAATAAGTCTTTCTAGATCAAACGAATACATTTTAAAATTTTGAACAAACCAGTGATCAAATCACTATGTTTGATTTAAAAAGCAATTGTGAAAATATTATCAGAACTACAGCTATGGGAGGGCGATTCTACTTGTGACATATTAAATGTCTCTCATTCAGATTATTTTCTTTCTTATGACAGAGTCATATACGATCAATATGCTTGATCTTTTATGGCTGAGTGAACGATCGAATAGTAAAAAGCTTAAATAGAGAAAAATAACAACGTCATAGAAGAAACATATAGAAAAGGAAAATTAATATAATCTTAGTCATTTAATTCCAATAGCATCACACAAGTAAAATACAACAAAAATAAACATCCGATCTTCGCATTTCTTTGTACGTTTATATACAAGAGAAAACGTGACTTTTCTTATTATCTATTTATATATAGATCCAGTGTTTTGATTCTTTTTAGTCCACCGACTTATACTTTATATCAAGACATGATCTTTCAACATCCACCTCAAGCACAACTAAAATTTTACCCATGAACGAAGAAGTTATTATGCAAGATAAACAGCGTCGTCTATTCACGTTTTATTGGATTATTGGAGAGAATGACGATGAGAATAAAAGGAAAAGAAGGCGAGTATATGTCTAAACGAAATATTCCCTTATTTCGATATATATATCGATTGTAATTTAGACGCCGCGGAGCATTCATAACAAGTTGTTGCTGTTGCTGTACTATAATGGTTTTATTATGCTGTATTATTCTGGTAGCATGCCTAGCAGCAGTTATTCTCTTGGGTATGTATTCAAGAAAAGTTAGACTATGTTTCATGTAAATTGTTTGTTATTTGTCTAAGTTTTCTAATCATGATTTTTGCGAAAGTATGAAATGTATCGAAGAATTTCAGAGATAAAATATTTAGTCGATTTGACCTGTCTATGGAACATTTCAAAATATGTTATTAATCATCAGTTGACCAATCATGTTTTTTTTATAAATGTCTTTTTCGAAACTATCTATCCATTCTCTTTAAGATCTTTTATGTAAAGCGGAGAATGTGCCAATATGAGTAAGCACACTTACGTTAGTCCGATCTTGAAAGCAAGAAATGATATAGTATAGAACACTAAATCCTGCGTTGCAAATAAATTCTTAAATGATATCAAAGTGAAGCGAAACAGCTTTTTGTGTGAACATAGATATCACCTAGTATAGAAAATTATTAGGTTTTTGACAGCTGATAACTCATCATTTTTGTCCATGTAAAACCCATGTATTCATCTTAATGTTGGGAAGTATGAATGCCGTTGTCGGTGTGGATGGAGAGAACATCCATAGCCACCCTTGGAGAAAAATCACACTCTTTCTAATATTTTTTAGCTGTCTTTTGTGTGTTCCTTATTAAGTTATTATCGATTTCTATAGTTTTTTTAAAACTTATATGCTCTCTATGTAGAAACTATATCAGCGTATAAAACTTGAGAGTTGTTAGTGTCGGGTCTAAGTGTGGGCGCGTGACTATTGTTCGCACTGTTCTTTTAAAGTCAAAACTTCAGTGATACTCACATCCATTTCGAATATTTGTAAAGTGACATATATCGCTGCTTCAGCGTACTACATTGAATCTTTTGAGTTTTAGCTGTTACTTCAAGCAACAAAAGTACAACCACAACCACAACCACTTCCTCGACCACTAGCACAACAACAACTACTATCACCACAACAACGACTAGCGTAACTACAACAACAACAACTATTACCACAACAACAGAATGTGAGTGATATATGTGAATGCTTATTTGAGCTTCACATTCACGGAAACCTCTGTGACTTTAAAAAGCAAAAATACTGTCCACTCTATCACTTTGATGGTATTTTTTGTGAAACACGATCTATAACGAATGTTTAAGTATATAAGGTAGATATTGGGACTTACTCCTAGTCCTTAGTCGATTCTTAACGATGATATTTGTGAATAATGAATTAAGTAATACAATTACTTATGGAAATTGTATTGAAGTTTCAATGCAAATTTCCTATAAATCTGAATTACTTAATAATTTATTTCCGTCATCGACTCACCATCTCAAATGAAACAATGCTACTGCTGTAGCTATATCATTTTTTTAGAGATATTTTGCTCCAGTTTTGCCAAGTTTTGGAAACTAATATGATTCAATCTAGTGCCTATCCTACTCTGTGTTTTACTATGTTGATGCCTTTTGATTTAAATTTCTCACATTATCTTGATAGCATCTCTCAGCATTTGTTGCTACGGATCAAACAAATCATTGCATTTCAGCCAATTGATGTTAGTCGTAAACAATTTCTTAAATAAGTACCAGTTCATTGCTGACACCGCCTACCAAACTTAATACTTTGAAACTTTGAGAAAATATTTCGGAAGCCTTTGGGCGACTGGTCCAACTATCGCTCAGCGGCTGACAGCACAAAACCGATTTGATTTGTCATTTTAGTTGGATGCTATCCTGAATGTCAGAATAATGGAACATGCATCCAAACAAACACATGCTTGTGCACAACTGGCTTTATCGGTTCAAGTTGTGAAATTCGTATGTCGGATGCTTTCTTTAGTGCTTGCTCTTATTGTGATCTTTTTGCAGAATCGGCTGGTTTATGTTCTGATGACAATACAACCAATGTAGCTCCAATTTTCTTGGTTACATTTGGCGCTGGTTCTGCTACCTTTTCTTTAGACACGCCTGCTAACCTCAGTTTTACAACAAGTTATCATCAACTGTTCGCAAATCCAATATCTGATGGCGATTTTGCTTTTACTAATGTAGTTCCTAGTAGTCCTGTTGTTTGGCATGGAGGAGCTGTAGATCATACACCTAATGATAGCGGTGGATACATGTTTTTGGCTAATGCAGATCCTAATCCTGGCGAATTTTATAAGGACACTGTTGATAATTTGTGCATTGGTCAACGGTATGAATTTTCGGTCTATTTGACTAATATTGTCAGACCATATGGTCTTGCTAAACCGAACGTTTTATTTGAAATTCGAACTGCAACATCTGACAACACTTTAATTGCACAGAAAAGTTCCGGCGACATACCTGAATATAGCAGCATGACTTGGACGAAATATGGTATTTCATTTGTAGCAACGAATACATCAGTCGTCTTATTAATGATTTCAAACACTCCCAATGGAGGAGGAAACGATATGGCGCTTGATGATATTGCCTTCAGCATCTGTTCAAATGCAAGTTCTGGTGTCTGTTCAATAGGTTAAGGCATCAATTTCTATCCCAAGAAGAGTCATTACCATCGGCAACCAATGCTATGAACTTGTTTTTCCAGTTGAATCTTGATTTCATCTTCTTTCGCTTTTTATTACTCTTTGCTTTAACCATTCAACAACTAATTTCTGATTTTCTTTCTGATGCGTTAGTAGAACAATATTTTGGTATTTTTCTAAGGATTAACAATGATGGTATGTCAGGATGAAAAAATTGATTCCGCGAATTCCAAGTAATAGTATATGCTTTCAATACGATAGAGTCATCTACTTTCTATACTACTTCTCTACTTCTGACTTTGATTCAACTCACCGAAGTCAAAAGGAAAACTCAATAGCAGATTCAGGTTCAGAGTGAAAACCACCTCGACTAGTCGATATCAGAAACATTTATCGAGTATTATATTAGTTGATTGGCTGACCTACCGTACATGTTTGTGTGAACATGTGTCGAAATTTTGAAAACTGAGGGATGTGCACTATCTATGACTATAATGTTAGGAATGTTAGTCGCTGTATTGGAGGGTGTGGGTGTTGGTGTCCTCTTCAAGCTACACGCACACACCCACACCCTTGTGCGAGCAATTATTAGCATCTCATAATACCATACTATTTATTGTGCTAGAAGGGTTTAATAATTAAAGTCGACTTGTATATGGATAATTTGGCTTTCCTTACAAGTTTTAATTGAAAAATTAGGTTTACTTTTAATTATTTTACAAAAACAACAAAACTGTTTCTTGCAGTAGCAATTTGAGAGAATTTGTGTTGCTATTCAGAGATAGAATTAATAGATTGGTTCTACCACTATCAATTCCTGGAAAAAATATTTCTCCCTTATTCAGTCGAGGGCCAAGTGAGTCGTAGCGGCGAACGTTAGTTGTGTATTTACTGAATTTTCTCGAAGCCAGAACGTTTCGCACACTGTTTTAAAATCTTCTACTTGCGATTTTTCCAGGAAGACACGTATATTTGTATCCAACTCGTAAAAAGTTGCCCGATAATTTTGCTACCTAGAATGACCTCGTTTGCAATACCCATATTAGAACGCTTTGTAGAAAAGATTCAAAGTTTGTTTAACTAGACCAATTTCATACGACTGTTAAATAGTAACGAACCAACAATTCTTTTTGTTCGAAAACAGTTGCTTGCGTCCAGATTTTCAGAATGAAACTTGCTAGGAAACGCGATAATTCTATACTTTTGATGAAACCATCCTTGTGCCTAGGATGCTCTGACACAAGTGTATAAAAGGTTTAAAAGCAATGTATTCCTATGAAATGTCAAGTTTAACATTAGTGGAGACTGATCCTCAATGTCTCCACCGCGTTTACTTCATTGTGTGAAACGAGTGATATTAAATGATAGAGTTCTCTAAAAGGATTGTGCTCAAAACTAAATTCAAAATGTTGCAATAAACAAAGTACAAGTGGTAATGCATTTAAGTCAAGCTTGAAAATAAGTAAGAGAACTTAACACAAAGACGAACTTTGAACGGATTATATTAAAAGAAAGATTATCCAAGAAAGTCAAAGAAAGTATGTCAAGGTCTCGCGATAAAGATGTTGCTTTGCGTCAAATGTTTAAAATAAATAGTAGTTTATTAGCCGCTGGAAAGTCAAAAGGAATAGTCTAATATAGTATAGATTCAATCGAAAAGCTCCTCTTCAAATTCTCTTTCAAGTTGCTCGTTGAATGCGGCTTGAAGATCCACACGCCGAAGTTTTTCTATGGCATATACATTAGCCACGCCAATGTCACCTCGGACCTCATTTTGTTGCTGATGGTATTCACAATATTCGATATGCAGGTCATTTGCTTTTGCACAGGCATTGCGAGTTTGTGCCGTAATGTTGCTTGTAATTGAATAGCATCCAATAAGTCGAGTGCCGCAGATTGGTCTCATGTCACTTTCTTGACCATTTATGAAGAACAGACAAAGATGTGCGACACTAGGATATTGAAGAAGATTTTGTTGAACCAATGTTTGTGCTTGGGCATGATTCCATTGTGGTAGTATAGCAATCGTTATAAATACCTTATTGAGACGATCTAATTCATGATAGAGATGATTTTCATTATTTATTATGAAAGCAATATCATGGAAAGGTTTTAAGTCCCTAAGGCGATTGGTGATATAATGATTAAGATCGAAGATTATTATAGTTGGTTGATCCTCAAATAAAGTAGGGGGACGTGCCATACCTAACTGTAGTGCCTAAAATAAATGAAATCATTAGTTTGCCCCAGCGATTGAAATGATTATATCTAGTAATAATCGTTTTTCTCTTCACTATTGAATTCAACCGTTACTCTACTCTATTTTACTAGGCAAAGTTGACTGTTTCCAATTACGTTGCTAACCTCAACTGGTGGTTTATTTCAGATAATGTTTATCATTGTTTCTTCTACGATGTGGAATGTGAGTGTGAACCATGGAATGATCAGCACCCACACCCCACACTCCCACATCAACCCTCTGGTCTGCCTGTCTGCTGTGGCCTGTTTATTTATATATGTTATTGTTTAGATGATATTTCAATGGAAATAGCACTATGTCATGATAATAGACAACGATAAATGCTCATCTATATATATAATATTCAGTGTGTGTGCCTGTCTGTGCCGATTCAATGGTTAAAGGTGAAAGGTCGAGCAAGGATATATAGGGGTAAAGCTATAACGAAGTAAGGCAATTAAGGAGTGAGGCTATAAGAGACTAAGACAAAAAGGACAAGGCTATGACGGGAAAAACTATAAGGGCATAGGGCTATAATGAAGTATCGCAATAAGGGGTGAAGTTATAAGGAGGTTAGGCTATAAGGGAGTAAGGCAATGACGAGGTAAGGCTCTAAAGAGGTACGACTATACGAAAGGGACACTATAAGGGGACTATTCTAAGGGGGTTAGGCTACAAGTAGTAGGGTTATAAGCGCTCAAGGCTCAAAGAGCTACAAGAAATATAAGGCTATAAAGCCGTAAGGTTACGTGAACTATTAGCAATATAAGGATATCACGCCATAGGGCTTCTATGTACATAACGAGCGATGTTCATGTGTCTGTTACCATGTGAAAGGTCAAGATTTCGAGGTCGTATATTAAAGAACAAAAACGCTGGCGTGCATTATGCACAGATTCTTGCTAATTTTTCATGTTATACCATTCAAGGTGCTCTAGTCTGCTTTAGGAAGTATTTTTGCTGCTCAAAAATAATTCTTTTTATTGAAAATCATGAAAACTGTGACAGACAAGCGGCTTTTCTGTCCTAAGCGGCCTGCCTGGTGTGTATACGGTCTTGACTTGGCCTGGGACAGACAGATTCAACAGATTGTTAAGATCTCTGGTCACAGCAGCATAAAAGTTTTCCAAAATGATCACAATCGCTGATTCTTTAGATTGGCAACTTTCATGGACACATGAACGAAACCGTCTAGATCGATGACGCAACTCAAATGCTGTGGACAACAGACCTTGTTCGTTTCTATACAACTCAATAAAACGATTGCCTTGCAGTTAATGAAGTTTATGTCTGACTAAGGAAGATTTGAAGGTGATAAAAATCTAGATGAACGAGGATTGTGCTATCAGGTAGAGTTTACTGAGAATAGACAAAGCGAATTATGATTTGTCTTCTTTTCACTCTCTACTCAAGTTATGATTATTTTTCTCAGTATTTAGCATGTTTCTCTGATATATCGTCAACATCCTAATATTGCAATTTAGATCTTAAGCTTTCTTCGGAAAAAGAAGTTCGTCGCTTATTTTATCGATCGAAATCCTCAGTTAGAAACGATGTTTCTCCATGAGATAACATATCTATAAAGCAACTGGATTTTTCTGCATCTCTTATAAAAATGCGTTCATTGATTGAAGACTATATATTCTATGAAAAAAAGCATCCGCCCTTGCCTAAACTTTCGATGTATAAAAAAGGCGAATAGATTTTTTGTTGGAAAAACCTCAGATTGAAAATTCTATACATGAATTTTCATGGCATACCATGCTCTGAGCGAAAACTCAATAAAATGGTTTTAACTCTAGATGAAATTAATCAACGGATGAATCAATGTTGGCTTTGTTTACTTTCAGCAGACTCTACTGAACGAAATAAGTTTCGTTTAAGAAGCTTTCAGTCAAATTGAAATATTCTCTTCTGAGAATGATACCACTTTAATGTATCAGTCGACTGATATTCTCTACTTCCATTTCAAGTGTGAAAATTTGACTAGATCCAAGTTATTAAAACAAAGCAGAAAAGCTTCAAATCCTCGAAATCGGCAATAAACAGGTTACAATGCGAGATAAATTCATTCGCTTTTAACTTAGAGTCAATGAGTAAAATCTAATCAATAGACCACTTACCATATCGTCTAGAATTCACTGTCGGCTCGGTTATGATGGTTTAAGAACAACTACAATAATCAAATCTATCTAGAACAGAGATATGAAGATGTCTGATAAGATTAATGCTATATTTCAAAGCACTTCAAAGTTTATTAGGAAATGATGATATTACATCGTACTTGACACTTCATCGATTTTTTTTCACAAGCTTTTGATAAATATATAAAAGTTGACGTTAACTAGAAACAAAAAAATCCATAAGATTTTCAGATACAAATTCGCCAATCACCGAAAATTGAGTGGAGTGATACTACGTTTTGAAAATATCCATATTGTAGAAAATCAAAACAAGTAGACTTTCAAACATTTTAATGTCACGAGGGTTTTCAAACTTTTAGATATCCATTTTCAATGCGAAAAACCCTTGCAGAGCCTCCAAGATCGAGTTGAAAACTCTTCCAGTATACAAATATTCGTAAATCTCACTTTTCGTTTCTCAATAGTATGGATTTTTTACAGAGCAGCTGATTCTTTATTTTTATAGTAATTACATATAACCAATATAAGGAATTAGATGAGGTTGTTGACTTATTGACGATACGAACATGCAGGATGACTTTTTCAATATTTCTAGCTGGAATAGAATTTTT